AGAGAGAGAGAGAGAGAGAGAGAGAGAGAGAGAGATTTTACTCCCTCCATGGCATCTCTCTGCTTGTTCTCGATTGGGTTATCGTAGATGGGGATTAATTTGCATCATCTTCTCCCAGGTCAAAGTTTGCTGCTGAGGCAATTCCTGCTTCTTTGGCTCATGGCAGGATAGGACAAGAGATATTACCTAATTAAGTTAAGGATTCTCTTAATTAATTGAGCCAACCTTTTTCTTATTAAATATTACCTAATTAAAATATTTTTATTATATAGCATAAGCACATCATATATAGTGTAAACACATCTTTAATAATGTGAACACTATACCAAAGTGTGTGAATACATCTTATAAATACGAAGCAAGAAATTGCTTAGATCTTTTACATGTATCTATTTAAACCCATTGTAGAAATTATTATTATTATTATTATTATTATTGATTCTATTCTTAATTCTTTGTTTATTCTCCTTCAACAATTTCTCCTTATTGACGTAACAATGGCATTTTCACCCTTTCATTTATGGTTATTGCAAGTCCCAACCTCAAAAGATTTCAAAGCCCAATACAATTCTTTGTGTTCTCCCCATTTAGAAACAAGATTATAACTAATAATAAGATAGCTGTAATGCTAACCATGTTTTCTCGATGATCGAGATATTGGAAGATTAGCAAAACAAACATATATAATAAGTTAATGTAAGCGTGTTGAAATGTTGAGATGAATCGGCTTAATTATTAAATATGATAAACTAAAGAAAATTTTCATTCGTAAACAATTAGATAGAGAAAAAAATTAATTGTATGAATACATTCATATGTCGCTATTTTTTCCCTCTATATTTAAACTAATATAGCATATAAATCCCTCTTTAAAGTTCAAAAGGTTCATAATTTTCGTATTTACTGTATAAAATTTTAATTTATGATATTGTCATTTAAGCATTCAAAATAATACTTAAAATATTGATTTTTATATTTTATATTTAAATAATAAATAGAATTAGATATTTATTAGAATACATTATTCATCCCAATATATGAAATTATCGTGATAACCCTTTTTATGATACAATTTTAACTAATTAATGAAATATTACTCCTCTATGATTTTTTTTATTTGTAGATTGATAATTGAGTGAATTCTAAAAGGTGCTGAGTTAAAAAATTTCTTGTAAAGTGTCATAACTTAAAAAAATTCAATATTTTTTAAAAATGACCATCATATCTCTATCGGTCATTGCCCTCCACTTAGCCCATTGCCCCCTCCACCTTGTCGACCAACCGCCTCTGGCCATCTACGGTTTTGCTCATGAGCTAATCTCATCGATCGACCTCTCTCCTCCCCTAGCCACATGTGCTTTCATGCATGAGCTGACTTAATTAGTCGTCCTCTCCCCTCTCATAATCGTATGCGTCTTCATGTGTATGCTAACCCTACCGACCAACCTCCTCCACACATTTTTTTCTCCTAGGGTTCATTTAGGATGACTAGAGTTAGCATGGGTGCCCACGATTGTCTTTGATTCGATGTAGGTACAAGGGGGATGACGACTGTAACGTAAGAAGAAGGAGGCGACAATAGATCCGACAGGATAAAATGATCTTTTCATATGATTAGAGTCGCTTATGAAAAAATTTCAAAGGTGGGCCGTATTATAGGAAATTCTCAAAGTTTATAGGCTTTTTTTTCGAGAATTTGTCATTGATAGTTCATATTTTAATTATGAGGGGTGAAATCGTAGTTCCATAGAGTTTTGGAGGGTCGAACCGTCATCCAAAAGGCGACGCACAATTACCCCAAACGCTGGCCGCAGCACGTGAGCGGGGCACGTGTCCAAGGAAATTATCCCTCTTCTTCCTATCTATTATCGCAAAGTAACTCGTTTTTGGGATGATGTCGCGCACCAAAACACCCATCCGACCCGATTAACTGCACTATGGTGGGCCCAGAAACGAGCTCTAAAATCCTCCAATCATCAACTGGTAAACTAGAGAGGTAAGTGGAAAACTGTTATACTAAGGCGCATTCCTCTATATAACTACCTCGGCCCCGTCTCTTCTCACGCTCGTCAGAAGAATGGTCCGCAACAAACACCAGTTCTAAGCTCGTCTTCTCTCCTCCCCTCTCCTCGTGACGAAGAAGGAGAAGACAAAGAGGAATCAAAGAGAAGAGGGCTCCGGATTTCTTCATCCGGATCCACAAAGAAGCTCCCAAGATCGCTTCTTCTGAGGTGCTCCTCTCCCTCTTCCCTCGAATTCAGCTCGATTTAGCTTATTTCTTGTTTTTTTTCTTTCTTTCTTGCAGTATTCTGTTCCGTTCTTTGATCTTCGTGCGTTGTATTCTCTCCGTGAGCTGATGATGGAAATACCCTTTCTTTGCTTTGCTTGTTCGTAGTGGTCTATCCGATCGGATCCGATCGTGCCGGATGGAGGCGCCCCGGGAAAAGGTCCGTCCGCATTCTTGATAGCTTTCCTTTTCTCCCCTTGTTTTGGTTAATGTATCGTACTGCATTCGTTTCTTTTTCTTCGGTTTTTGGAAGACTCTGAACTCCGATTAGTAGATTTCTTTTGACTTCAAATGCGAACTCTGAGTTCTTTGCGCTGACCAGGACCTGATTAGTTCATCACGTCCTTCTTTTTACTGATCCATGTAATGCCACTTGATCTGCACATCCTTCCCACTTTATCTTCTTATACTCACTAGGAAATTAAGAACATATTACATGCAGTTGCCTAAGATGATCTGAGTTCGAGGGAAGCACTGCAAACGCTTAAATCTTCCAGTTCTCAACTATTTTGTTCGTTTCTATTTCTTCGCTGGACTCACCACGAGTCAAGGCGTGCTTTCTTTATGACCTACAAACCATTTCCTTCTGATGCTTCTTTTCTGTCCTCTCTCTCTCTCTCTCTCTCAGTTCGTGAGTTCTTGCAGAGATCATAAAAACCTCCTATTTGTGCCTTTTCCAAGTCCCGGACCAAAGGAAGACAAAAAGAAGAATAGAGCATGGAAGCTGCTGCTGCTGCTGCGCTTGCCGCTTCGGCGAGTAGTACGGTATGATTCTTCCTTTTTTCCCCCCCGCAAAACCTAAGTCTTTGATCAAAACTAAAAAGAAAAGAGGCAGGAAGAAAAAGATATCTTCTATTTCTTCGCCATCTTTTATGAGGAAGGATCGGAACCGTCGGATCAAGATACTAGGGCGGATCGGGTGTGATCGGACGATCCAGATTTAGGTGGGAATGGTGATGACTTGGGTTTGTAATTTGGGCGGTGATGGGAGGTCGTTATCACCACGAGGAGATCGTATATTCTCGTTCTAAGGTGAACAAACAGAAACGGGAGGGAGCGCTTGTGATGATGACGACGCGACTAGTGCAAGCAATACCTGTCCACCTTTACCACGTATATACCCGCTGCATCACCTGCGTTGTGACTGGTGAGACTGTGAGCTCATGTGGGCCGCATCTGCTCGCATCAGGGAAGGAAAGCGCTGCTGTTTGTACTCGAATGTCAAAAGATCTGATTTGTTTGTTCCACAAATGGGAAATGATGGTGATGATGATGATGATATTAACATGATGTTCTTGTCTGCTTGCGGGGACAGCTGAAGTATTATTACTCGAAAAGGAATGACTCGGAGCAGCGAGGGCGGTCGGCTTTGGGAAGGGAGGCGCTGCCCGATGCCAATTCGAGCGATGCACACCCATGCAACGGTACGAACCATGCATACCCATGCCTGATGCCAATTCTCATCATGACGCCCGCGCGCGCGCGCGCACACACACACTCTCTCCTCTTATTCCTCTGTTCCTACAATACCCTCCTGAAGAGCAATGCAACAATTAAACAGATGTGGGCATTTTGGGGAATCGGTGAAGTCGAGCTGAGCATTATATGGTGTTTCGATTTGTTTCGCAGGAGTGTTCGAGCTCGGCGCCTTCTACGAGATCGATCATGAAATGCTTCCCCCCAAGTCCCCGATCCAGCTGAAAGCCATTCGAGTCGTAAAGGTTTCAAAATTTCCGTCGTTTTAGCTGTTCTTGTTTGTTCTGTAAATGCTTGCTTAGTGTTTGTGATTGGAACATAGGTGGGCGAGGCGACGAAGCTGGACGTAACGGTTAGCTTCCCAAGCACGCTCGCGCTGCGGAACTACTTCGCGATTTCACCGGAGCCTGGCCGTGATCCGGAGCTGGACGAGAGGTTCGTCATGAGCTCGAACCAGGCGGGAAGGATACTCCGACGGCCAGTGCCCCCGTCAGAGCTGGAAGAACAGAAGCACCTGGAGAGTTTCTGGCTGTCGACTTCCAACCTGCACGAGTTCCCCCTGCCTATGGTGCCCATCGGATCAGTAACGGCAGAAGACGAGATCGGTAAGCGAGCGTCGCCAGTTGGAAACTGCCTGTTGACCATCAAGCGCGCAGGCTTTCTTGGCTGGGGGATCCGAAGAAAGGTTAAGTACATTGGGAGGCACCGCGAGATGTCTTTATCGATGTCCGATCAGAAAGACGAGGAGCAGCAACATGAAAAGAAAAGAAAACGGGAGGTCGTCGAGGAGGAGGAGACGGAGAAGAAGAAGGAGAAACAAAGGGGAAAGAAGGGTGAGAAGAAGACAAAACCTCGGCGCGACAACGAGGATAAGTGGAGGTGCGTGAAGGAGCAGCAAAAGGGGAAGGGGAGCAGGGACCGGTGGTCTTCCGAGAGGTACGAGGCGGCGGAGATGAAGCTGCTGGAAATCATGAAGGTGAAGAAGGCCGGGCTCGGGAAGCCCATCATGCGGCAGGCGCTGAGGGAGGAGGCGAGGAAGCACATTGGGGACACGGGGCTCCTGGATCATCTGCTGAAGCACATGGCGGGCAAAGTCGTGATGAACGGCACCGAGCGGTTCCGCCGGCGGCACAACTCGGAGGGGGTGATGGAGTACTGGCTGGAGCCGGCGGACCTGGTTGAGGACCGCCGGAAGGCCGGGGTGGTGGATCCCTACTGGGTCCCTCCGCCAGGGTGGAAGCCTGGTGATGCCACGTCTGCGTGCGCCTGCGGTGGTGCGTGCAAGCCTGTGATAAAACAACTCAGAGAGGAAATATTAATTCTCAAGAGGTACCTTTCTCTCTCACACACACACTCGCTCTCTCACACATACACATGGTTCATTTACTTGTTTGGTGAAATGAACGTGGCACATGCAGGGATTTGGAGCAGCTGAGCTCACCGAAGGAAGTCGAAAAGGTCGTTTTAGCTGTGCTTTTTCTTAATCACATGCATGTTTGTCTTCTGGACCGTTTCACTGAAAGCTGGCAAAGAGTAATAATACACATCAATGGGCACATGAGAGTAAACTAATATAGGATACCACATGCGTGAATTTGCTTCCTCATTTATTAGTAGCTTATTGATGACTCTCGACTCAGCAATCTGCGTAATTGATTACCAGGAGGACTACAGTAGTTTTATTGAAAGGAGTAAGAAGCTTGATGAAGAAATAAGTGTCATTTACAATTGTTTGCAGAGCTTGAAGGTATGCGGAAGTTTTCCGTTTGGTTGTACAAGCAGCTTTTACTTTGAATCCATGTAGCACTTCAAAGATCGGTTGTTTTACTAATTTCCACGGAATACGTTCGACACTACGTATGCACCTTTTGATTGTTTGCTGGGTGATGCAGGAAGAGATCCGACTCATGAAGGAGCAGGAAAACAAGAACATGGAGATAGAGGTAATGAGAGAAGACAGGGGAATGCAGTACGAAGAAGATGTCGCCATGAAGCAGGAGGGGAATGAGAAGAAGAGAAATGGAGACGCCAGCAACAGCAACAACACCACTGACAGTACCACGAACGACACCAATAACAACAGCAGCAGCAACATAACCAACCAAACCATTACCACCATCGGTACTAGTAAGAGTAGCAAGAGCACCACCACAAACAACAATAAGGCGGGGGCGCGCCGGAGTGGGTTCAGGATCTGCAAGCCGCAGGGGACATTCCTGTGGCCGGACATGTGGAGCAGCAACAATGGCAGCGCCACTGGCGGCGGCGGCGGCGGAGGGGAGCTGCGTTCCCAGGGCCCTGTGTTGGTCCCCAACACCATGATGACCACCACGATGGCCATGACGACAGCGGCCATAGAGGAGCACCTGATGCTGATGGGTGGTGTCCCCACACCTCCCTCGGCCTCATCCGCCACCTCGGCCCCCAGACTCCTCCTGCTGCCTTCTCCGACGTCCCCAGTCCTGACACGTCCCCCAGAGGTCGTGGCGGTCCCCCCGCCTCCTCCTCCCTACTGCAGTCTGCAGCTGCAGCAAACAGGCAGCTCCCACAACAGCTGTCCTTCCGTTGTGTACCATCACATGGTTGCTCGCGTACTCTCTCTCTCTCTGTCACTCTCTCTCTCTCTCTCAGAGGAAACGGAGAGTGCTCTAACATTCTGATGCAGGTTTGGGCGCAGACAACATCTTCGCCAACAATGCTGCCTGGCGTAGGGGATGAGCCGGAGGGAAACACGAGATCAGAGTCAGCAACCGCGGCTTCTAACTGGAATGCACACAAGGGAGGAAGAAGCAACATCACCACGGATTTATCCCTCGCCACGCCCTCCACCACCTACCAGTGAACCAATGCATCTTTTCTAGAGACATTACTTACCCATTCATATTAATCAACGTTTAGTAGCTCCACTGCTGCTTAGCTTCTCTTAATCGTCCACCTTAGCTAGCATACCTTACCCTGCGAAGCATATAGTAACATGGAACAACAAAAAGGGCTGATGTAGCATCATCCCCTAACTGCCTCCGTTGCCTCTGTTGTCTACGACATCTATCTGTGCATAAAAGTTTCGGAGGCCTTGGGAAGCAAAACTACCGAGGCTTTGTCAAGGATACAAGTGTTGATGCACTAATTAGTACCTTGTTGTTGTGTTTCTAACCAACATATGATTTATCGTCATCAGAAGAAAGTCTTTTTATTTGTTTCCCAGAATAAAAAAATAATGAGTAACTTGTTTGTGATAAGAAAGAATGGTGCAGGAGGAGGGCAGCAAAGGCAGGCACAAGCAGCTTGTCTGCTCCAAACAGGGAATTTGCTAAGCTCGGCTGGATACTGCGTGGGTGCAGACAGCAGGTACTACTCAGGTATGCAGCTGCCACACCGCTTTCCCTGGTACTATTTAGTGTCTTTTTCAGAGTGCAGATTGTGCATGTTTCTGTGTGGGCTCTGATCCACCCCACACCGCATCGGCGACAATGAAGTCGGTTCTGAACTTAACATCTCTAAACGCAACACTAATTCCTTAATGAAAATGGATATTTGATTATGAAAGTGACCCAATTCGTCCTTATTATGGGAACGATTGAGATAGATAGCCGGTGACTACATAATTCGGAAGGTAGAAAAACAAAAAACCACGAAATGATGATGATAATGATGGCCGAAGAAAATTTTATGCATTTCTATCACGCACGCACATGCATTCTGTTTATGCAATTCTACTCCCAAATCGATATTATATATTTTCAAGTCTCCATGAGGATGTATATATGTCCCACCAATTGGTTGCACCAACTACCTCAATTCCCCCACAATAATTCTAATTCTACTTCCCCTGCCATAAATTGCTTAATAAAATGACATACATCATCGTGACGTTAAAGACCCATCATCATATATCCATCCAGCTTGATCTCCAATGCAGGTGGCTTAACATGTGAATTGTATTGGCATATTTAAGTTACTTTTATAGTATGTTATGGTAAGTGAAATTAATTTATAACTTGGGTGGCTATGTTTCTTCGATACTTAAGTATCTTAGTTGTACAAAAAATCGAAGCATCGTATATATATTCCTATCATTTGGAAGTTGGGATTATAATATAACTCTCAAGTTGTAATTCATTATACAATACATGAATCACATACGGGGATGCTGGCAGCACACATAGATTTAATAGACTTGCAACAATGAAAATATTTTATGATAATATAATAAGATTTCTTCTATCAAAAATGAAAATTTTTGGACTTAAATTGAACTGTATATCGAACTTTTGAATCGTATTTACCTCAAATCCGAGAAGACGATATCAAATCGAACTAAATATTAAATTCTATTTACTCGTATTCAATGAAGCGATATCCTAACAAATAAGGAACAGAAAATTGTTATCGGCGCAGAAAAGACTGGATACACCAATCCACCACCACAAGTTGAGATTTAATCTCCCATATCTGTTCCATGTGGATGTGCCAAGGCAAACTTAAATCTCCTAAACATTAATGTGGAACATGAAGACAAGACAAAGTTTATGGTCTTTTTCTTACCAAAAAGATGTGGACTTGGCAAGCAGACATAATTTTCTCACCAACCCAACCTCTTGTCTCTCCATGACTTTGGACCTAATCCATTGAAATGATCCTTACCGTCGAAGAGTTTTGAGGCCTTCCAAGCTCGAGGAGGCTACCTTTGTTGACTCAAACACCACCGTTCTCTAACCATTAGTTTACGTGCAGACGACTCACGTTGGCGACGAGGGAGAGCACGATTAGACCGATCGAGTGTAAGAACACTGCACGATCTCGAGTCCCGTGCACGACGCAATCACTTGATCTCGTTGTGTCTGCTCAATCGCACCTCATGCAGTCAGTCATCGTTGCTCAAACGATGCAGCCATCATTTGGGGATTTGATGAAATCGTCGTGTCATCTCATTCTTTCCCCCCATTATATGTTGGCTCTATCGCACCCGTGTATACCATACATTGCCTCACCACAACCCAACACAGTGTTCGGACATGAAAACAAATGACTTGTACTCTAATCTTCGATGTCTGTCTCATGTTAACATAAAGATACTAGAAAATCCCAACATGATATCAGAATCAGATGCACGAATAAAATTGAGTCGATACAGACAGACTTAAAAGTGGTGTCAGATTATCATAAAATTGTTCTTTGATTTAAAAGTAAAATAAATAAATAAATTACATAATTATCGAATGAGAAATTAACTTTTTAGATTGTGACAATAATTCAATCTAAATATATATTACATAATTAATTGTTTACCTTTTCTTTTGATGACAATATGACAATTTTCAGAAGTTCTCTTTCCGATCCCCTTCCTCCGCAGCCTCAGTACGCGGAATTAGAATATTCCACCCTGCAAGAATCGACGGTGGATGATGATGACGCGTGGCTGAACAAGCCGCTGTCGTCCCAAGCTTATTTATACCGTCAACCAGGCCCCAACCCGACCCCTGCTTCCTATGGCAATGGCAATGGCAATGGCCTCCCCGGCCTCCGGTTTCCGCCTTCGCCTTCGCCTCCGCCCTCACCTTCTCCTCCTCGCCATCTGCCTCGCTTCCCTCAACGTGATGCTCGTCGCCGGCTGCTACAGCGCCATCTTCAGCTTTGGGGACTCGCTCGCCGACACCGGTAACCGCCTCCACTCCCACCGATTCGACCCCGTCGGCCGGTTTCCCTACGGCGAGACCTTCTTCCACCACCCCACCGGCCGATACTCCGACGGAAGAGTGATGCTCGACTTCATCGGTAATGGTTCCCCTTCACTCACTTCTCACGCGTCCACGCTCTTCCTTTACGCATCGGCTCCGCTGACGAAGCCCGATGGTGCGTGCAGCACAAGCAATTGGACTGCCGATGGTGCAGCCATACCTCGCCGGCACGCACGACGGCGAGGACTTCAGGTACGGAGCGAACTTCGCCGTCGGCGGAGCCACCGCGCTCGACAACGAATTCTTCAGATCGAAGGGGATGGAGGTGTCGTGGACCAACGACTCGTTGAGCGTTCAGCTGGAGTGGTTCAAGCATCTGCTGCCGTCGCTCTGTGCCACCAACTGCAGCGATCTGATGAGCGAGTCGCTGTTCTCGGTAGGGGAGATCGGGGGCAACGATTACAACCACGCCTTCTTCCAAGGAAGAGGCGTGGATGAGATCAAGACCTTCGTTCCCGGCGTCGTCTCCGCCATCGGCTCCGCCATCGAGGTGACCTCGGTTCTCGGCTAGCCATTGCGCTGTCGACATCTCTGATTTCATCGGGCTAACGAATCCAGTTCGATCGCCAGGAACTGATCAAACTCGGGGCGAGAACCATGATTGTGCCGGGGAACTTCCCGATCGGGTGCGTCGCCGTCTACTTGACCATGTTCCAGAGCGACAGGCGCGAGGATTACGAGTCGGGAACGGGGTGCATAGAGTGGTTGAACCAGTTCTCCATGTACCACAACCGCCACCTCCTTGATGAACTGACCCAGCTACGGCGACGGTATCCGCAGGCGACCATCATTTACGCAAATTACTATGAAGCCGCCATGGCCATCTTCCGCTCTCCCCAGGAATACGGTGCGCTCCTCCTCTCTTCCTCTTTCCTTTCCATCAATTATTTATTTGCATGTGTTTGCCATGTGATTAAGAAATATCATGTTATGTCATCGAGACCACACGGTCGGTGGCGTTGAGTTACATGTGGAAAATGATATCTCCCCAACTCTCTCTCTCTCTGTCGGTCCTCTCACATAGGCAAGCCTTTTTCCAATCATACAGTGCACAACATGACCGACCACCACCGGCTTATAAGTATAATTTTGCCTGGGTGGCAATGATGATATTAAACCTTATCGTGTGGTACATGTCACTAAGGCTTTGCATAAATGAACTACAAATTTAATTTGATTTAATTTAATATAGCAAGTGTTGGTCACCCATGCCTGCCTGCCTCACAGCGTGGACTGAGTGCAGGATTTGGGAAGTTTCCTCTTGCCGCGTGCTGTGGAGGTGGCGGTCCCTACAACTACAACCACTCCACCAAGTGCGGAAAGGACGCTGGCGTGTGCAGCAGTCCATCGAGCCAAATCTCCTGGGACGGAATACACCTGACCGAGGCTGCTTACCGGGTCATCGCTCGTGGCCTGTTAGGGCCATACACCATCCCTTCCCTTTCACGATCATGTCCGACCATAAAGTGGAATGTTCTCGACTCCGACGACGAGTACTCCGCTCAATCCTAATGTCGACTTGTTATGTGCGGTTTGGACAGGAAACTCCGGCGACCTCAAGTTACTGGGACATGAAATTAATTGTGTTCAATTTTTATGATTGCTTAGTCAGCCACATTTATTTTCTCCATTCACGTATTGGAATGCAAACTCACAGAAGAAATAGAATTGTGTCGAAAAAATTACCAAATCAAAAGCACATCTTTAACATACTAACAAATTTGTATCTACCTATCGTATGGAGCTTCTTACGAGCATATCTTCTGCAAGAGTTCACATTGAAACATATTCACTAATCAAAGGTTCTGAGCTTGATGTAAACATGAATTAGATTTAGTCCACTCTATGGAGAAGTAATTAAGGACTCCTCAGGTAATGCACTTACAAACTTTGAGACTGCAGTTCTGAAGATAAATGCTAGCAGAAAGAGTAATAGATACAATTGCTAGTCACAATTGATCTTAAGCAGTCAACAAAACACAACTATGTATGTATGTGTGTATGTACACACATCGATGCCTCTGGAAGGCTTGCGCAGGCTTGAGATTGTTACAAAGACATTCTCCATGTACAGAGAGAAACCAAAGCTTCTTGAACAAATTCAAAACACTTCCCAACCTATATATAAAGGACTTGGACTTCTAGCAGACCGAAATGCATAGTGTTCCCCTGCTAAAAACCCAGGATCGAGCACCATTCATGCAGCTTACGCGGTCAGAAACCCTGGTGAGGTAACTTACTCGTCAGACATGCATTCCATTGCCATTGGAGCAGATGTTCCTGTATGACAGCCTCGTAGCGGGCTTCTTCGAATTCCCATTCCCGTTCTGGTGGGATTGAGTGGGTGAGAAGCCATTGCTTGTTGTAAGTCCTTTGAATTCCCGTTCTGATGGGATTGCGTGGGTGAGAAGCCATTGCTTGTTGTAAGTCTCCTTGTTAAGGTGCCGCAGTGGCTGGGATTTTGCAGCAAAAGTTCGAGTTGTCCACAAGCAGCTCCTACAAGTCCTGCCAAACGATTCACATTGTTTTATTTATGACATGCTATATTCAGCTTCCCTGTGAAATCACGAGAGAAGTATGAAAACAATATAACAGATCATCAAAGCGAGATATACAACAAGAATAGTAGTTCAAAGCACCATGAGAAAAAAAATAAGCTCATGGTGCTTTCATCATGGTCAGCACGGACTGGAAATGGAGAATTTGTCTGCTCAGCACCTGTTCAGCTCACCAATAATCGAAAACCTGAGTGCTAAAACTTACAAAGTGTTTCAACTAAAAGATAAAAGCATGGACTGTGAATACACCATACGATGTTAAATGAATATAAAAAGGACATGACATTTTCAAGCGCAAAATTGGACTCAGGAATTTCACCATATGCTGTGATAAAAGTGGACATGTTTGTAAATGAAACATTACCTGAGAAAAGGGCAGAGGGTTTTCCAGGTCTTGACTTGAACTCCGGATGAAATTGCACACCAATGAAATAAGGATGAGTATGCAACTCAACAATCTGCACCAGCATATAAATATTTAAAAGAAATTCAAAATTCGCAAAACCAAAGTAAGTGCTATCAGATGCATACCTCCATACGTCTTTTGGTTTCGTCTTTACCAACAAAAGCAAGACCAGCCTTTTCAAATTCTGTAATCATGGAGGGATTCACCTGCGTATACAATGAAAACAAGAAGCCTAATGAAGAGAATATTTATTCAAGCTTCTCAAAGTTGCTGCAATTTTTAATTTGTGTGCAAGTGTACAGACCTCATATCGATGCCGATGTCGTTCATCCACAAAGCTGACATTGCCATACCTAAACAGAAGGCAAAATTTTAGAGTTTTTCAGCATAGGAGAAATGCAGAAAAATTGACAATAGCAATGGCCATTAAAAGTTCAAGGGATATTTGTCTGCATACAACTTTGCAGCTTTACTGTCAGCAACCTCAAAATAGGTCCTCCTTGATCCAAGTCGCATCATACCTCCCAGGTGAGTTTTGCAACCCTTTATTTATCGTTCTTAGATATGTCAGGAAGCAGAAGATTTCCATAAAAGAAATAACAAAAGAGATGGCCATACGAATTACCTCTGGCATAAAAACAACACATGGATTTGTTGTATCAGGGTCAAACTCCGTGCTGTTTGCATCCTCCAAGTTCATAACAGAACGGGCAAATTCGATGACAGATATTTGCATGCCAAGACAAATGCCAAGAAATGGAACGTTGTTTTCACGGGCATATTTAACAGCAAGAATCTTTCCTTCCACCCCTCTATCTCCAAAGCCTCCTGGGACTAGTATACCATCTGCACCCTGAGCTAAAAGATTATTAGATGGCAGCAAGAAAGCTGCATAACCTACTACCCATGTTAACAACAGCTGAAAACATGATAATGCACATTGTCTCAAGAATCTAAGACCAATGGCTTAAATAAGAACGACACACACCCTCAACCGTCTCCATGCTGCTCTGTAAAGATCAGGAGCCTGTACATGGGATTAATCATAGTCATTAATATCGAAACACAAACCATCAACAGAGACTGGAGAATATGAAAATAAACAGACTTCTGCTTTGGTGCTGTCTTCAAGGTCAGAAGATGGGACCCAATCCACCACAAGTTTCTTATGACAAGCAATAGAAGCATGCGAAAGAGCCTGCGAATAGGTTCACGATTAAATCGATTACAAAAAATATAGAAGTGGAGAGAAATCAAGAGCTTATTTTCCATATCTTGTCCTTCTAATGGAAAGTATAAATAATCCAAACAAAAAGTTAAATGCTAATCAACCTAATCTTTCCAGCCAATAGCCAATTAAATTTATGGACAAGGATTGATATCATTGAGTAATACATGCATTCACCTTCAACACTGAGATATAAGAATCAGAAAGGCCGGTATATTTTCCAACCATGGCAATTCTGACCTGAAAATCAATAATGGGTCAGATTGCAACCAACAAATGAAATTAAGGCATCCAACAGAGGGATAAAAGAGAAGAAGAAGAAGGGGAGAGAGAGAGAGAGAGAGAGAGAGAGAGAGAGCTCACGGGATCATGCGAGATGTCATAAATTCTAGCTATAATCGTCCATTCTTCCAACATAGGTTCTTTAGCGATCCTAGCAAATACAAAAGGTTTTGATTTATTTCATGTCTATCTACATTTGCATATAGATAAAAAGTTGATAAATCCAAAAATTTCGAAATAGACAGGTCAAGTTAATCAAACTGACCCTTGAAGCTTCAATAGCTTTATAAAAGCTTCATGTGCCTTTTGCTCCTACAGGTACAAAAACAAAATAGAATGAACCATTTGCTCCTAAGGTCCTAAGGGTACAAAGTTTGAATGTACAACTGTACATTTAAAAAAAAAAATAGAAGGAACCATTTGAGTATCCTGAACATTATGTCCACGATTCTATCGGGAATATAGACTCTACCCTCAACAGTAAAGGAATGTGCCAAATATTTGTAACATCGTTCAGAGTAATAATATTTGCTACCTGCAAAAACAATATGCTGATCAATTAGCGGACAGTAGTATGCATTTATTGCAAAAAGGTTATGGGCCAATTGATGAAACTCAACAAAAGAATACCGGGATATGGCAAAATTGTGAAAGTTTCTCTTTTATATTTTCGTCCAGTGGCTGACAAATGCATCAAAAATGGAACTATCAGAAGGCAATGTAAAATGACAATAAAAAGAAGCCTGAAAATGGCAGATGGAGAAAGAAGTTCAGTGGAACCTTAGTGCTTCGGCAGGCTAGAATATTTGGCATCAACCCAAGTCCTCTTAGGCTCCGAACACTATGTTGTGTGGGCTTAGTTTTCTACAAAATTTTAAGCCAAAACTCTCATCTCAGAATGCCACAATAAATATATAGACTAAATATAGCGGCAAAACTCAAACTGTTGCACAAATTTTTGCACAGAAACTGTAGACTACAGTCACTGACCTGCTCGCCAACTGCATCTAAAACAGGAACAAGACTGACATGAACCAGACAGAAGTTCCCAGGACCTGCATGAAGAACAATTTGAAGAAACACCCCTATGTAAGAGTGACTGAGATAACAAGTCAATCATAAGAAGCAATTGACACAAAACAAGTGCTGTCTCCATACCTACACGGTAAGAGAACTGACCCAAAGCTTCTATAAATGGCATAGACTCTATGTCCCCTGCATCAAGAATGCCACTGTCGTTATGCCCTGAAAAGATCGTGGCTCCTGCACCGCATACTTACACCACTATCGGTAACATCTTGCAAACTAAAATTCTCCACAAAAAGTGCCAACTTGCTGGCTGATATATACAATATTCCACCCTCATTATGAGGAAAATCAAACAATGTGGCATACCTATAGTTCCACCCAATTCTATAATACAAACATCAGCAGGTCCTTCATTACCATCCACAGGTATCTTAGCTACACGTTCAATCCACTCTTGTATGGCATTTGTAATGTGCGGCACAACCTTGGAAGAAATAATGAAAGAAGTTCAGGAACACAAGGATAAAACCAAAATATGATCCATCCCATATATCAGATGATTTAGATAAGTGCTGCAGAGAAGAGCCAGACTTGGACTGTCTTCCCCAGATAGTCTCCCTTCCTCTCCTTGTTAATGACAAACTACCACATAACAACAAGAATATAATGGCGCATCAGTTCATATAGGTACAACTGGACAGAATGACACAGAAATAAAAGCAAAAGATGAGTTTACAAATGTAATATAATTGAAACTGTGAGTACAGAAGGCATGGATCAATCTAGCACCTGATAGATCTTTCCAGTTGTGATGTTGTTGTCCCGAGTTAATTTGATATCAAGAAATCTTTCATAATTTCCAAGATCCAAGTTCACCTGCAAATAACAACATTCATCAGGCACAATTTTTTTATCATTTCAGTCACAGTGAATAAATCAGATAAACAATGATTTCTGGGATATCTGTCAGATAAATAAAATGTCACATAAAGCAGAAGGCGTGTAACAAAGTTAGGCGCACAACAATACATGTAGAAAGTATTACTAACCTCACCACCATCATCTAAGACAAATACTTCCCCGTGCTCAAATGGAGCCAACGTCCCGGCATCAGTGTTCAGATAAGGATCTGCAACAAGTACCACATGTAAAAGCACAAGACACCGTCGTCAAAAGAAGAGCAACCTAGTGACATTGTTGCCACACAATCAGAAACTCCGGGTTCTACAAATCCTTCAACACAATAAATTAAATGACACTGTCCATTTTTACGCATTCACAGATGTCTTCATGACCTTACAGAAATTGGAAATAAATGGACAGATGCTAGTTTCAGCACGATTTAGGTGTTCTCAGCTTGACTTAATTCTACTCAAGATCTAAAAGAAGTGGAAATAAATGTTAAAATTGATATTCCTTAAATAATAATGATGGGTAAGGTTTCAAAAATCTACATATATGTCTCCCAAAGCTAAAGAGGCTAAGAGGATTGAACATGAAGTTGGTACGAACTTAGGATCCCAAACCAAAAGGCAAACAAAGTTAAAACCAAGGAAGTAACTGTTACCCAATACCAAGTAAACAAACTGCCACACTTCACTAGGACTCGCCACAGGAGTTGCTTACACACCAAATTGGTGGCCCTAAAAGTGTGGAAAATGCAAATATCATTGCCCCTGAAGAGTGGGAAGGCCAAACATGAAACTTCTTTTTCGGCATGATTTTTGCCCTTGCGAATGAAAAGCTAGGTTGGAGATGACGATTTGAAGAAAAAGAGAACGGATTGTTCCTTCCGAGCACAGAAAAGCCATCTCCGAGAGAAATACGAAGGGAAAGGACAGACGAAGTGCAATTTTGATCGGCGCAGGTGAAGCCTCATCCCGATAGGATAGGGGAGGAGAAGAATACCGATTTTTATCGCCGTCACCCGGAGCCCGCATGCCTTGAGGAGGACTCCAATGCTGCTCGCTGTCACCCCTTTCCCCAGTCCACTTACCACTCCTCCCGTCACCAATACGTACTTCATATCTCTCTCTCTCTCTCTCTCTCTCTCTCAGAGCGATGGAGAGTAGGACGGGAGGACGCAGCGGGGGTGCTTAAATACTCCCTTCCAAGCCTTTTACCTCTGAAATAAAATAAATTAAAATAAAGAAAAACATTAAAATTAAAAAAATTAAAATTTTGTTACCACTAAACATGTCAAAATGTAAAGGGTAAAATTTTGACTAATCCTATATTCTTTCCCATTTAATTCTCAAAATTGAGAGTTAAATAATTTTGTCTATATGATCGTGTTTGACTATAAACTAGAAAGTCGAAAGCTCGAACTAACTTATAAACGGTTATTATCTTTTCTTTTTTATTCATCATGTGATGTGATATGATGTGATGTATATATAATTAAAATTTAAATATAAAAAATAAAGTTATTATCAAATCATATAATTATAAATATTATAAAAATGTGACGGATTATATACTTCCTTCATCCTATTTATAGATGGAGAGTAGATACGTGAGAATTGGCCATATAAACAGCAAAAAAGAAAGCAAGTCTGCCTTTCCATTGAATTTACTTTATTTTAGATTTGCAATCACATCAGGCTAATTGAATGGAAATGAAATAAGGTGGCATTCAGACATAGTATCCAAATTCCTTATTTGACGCTTATAGGATATTAATGGAAGGAGAGGAATTCTTATACAATCTTGACATTAATGAACCACATGGCGTGGAATTAGGACTCGATTTCCAGATCGATGGGCCCATTTAGGCTTATCCTCTTCATTTTTAGTAGATTGCGACGACTAAAAATAGCGGGATAACGAAACCTTTCACCACAAAGCACGGCCTTCCATCAACGCGATTGTGTGTCTCGGTCGAGACAGACAACACGAACCTAACTCGCGAGACGTCGTCGGGGTGGAGCTCCGTGACGCCATTCACCCGTGGGTCCCGGGACGCGGAGAGAGGTCGACGGTGGCGGGGCCCTGTTGGGTGGGTGGGGTGGGTGACGACGTGGGAAAGGAGGAGTCGGCCGGTGCCGGCGTTCTCGGCTTCCTCCAGTCAAATCCGCCACGTCAACGCGACGTGTGTCCTCCCACGTGGCCGTCCCGCGGCTGGGTGGCATGCCTCACGTGGGTCCCAAAGCCGCTACCAATCGTTTTCCGAGAGGGACGTCCTCCACGTGGCCCATGTCAGAGGCTAGACTTTTCATTATTACACATCTACCCCTTTGACAAAATAATTTTCTCGTAATGACTACTACTAATCGTAATATTGAATTCAAATAACATGTTAAAAGGATAACTCGTAATAGATAGAATTATAATCTATCCGCTTCGTCTAACTGAAAAAACCTTCGACCTAACGGTCCACGACCAACGTGCAAAAGACTCAACTTCGTCCCCATTGACAATGACCGTATCATCGAATACACAAGTGTCGATGAACGAACAATACAGTCGTGTGTGAGCCAATGGTGATAGTTTGCTTGGTGGAATAGAAAGCACGAAGCTGCTCAAGTCTTCTTAACATATCTACGGTGACCAACCACAATAATCGTAGTCACACGTCAACCACAGCCTTGGAATCCGAGCTAGAGATGCGTCGGCAGGGTTGATTTGTTCGATTCCCACCTAACATCTCAATCCTCCGAGAATTCACATGAGAATTTAGTATGTGACAATATATCTCGTCAATCGTTTCTGACGAGAGCAAGGAAGGAATCTACACTGTGTATTGTTTGTATCATTTCCACTGCAATGTGATTTATGAAAGGCAGTGTAACTTTTTATCTTCTAGTGACCAGCAGCCAACCTAACTCAGCTTACATTTGCTCGGCCACATCATGCAGGCACATATACCGCAAGAGCTTCTCTTCTCTTTCACTTTTCCTTGTTATTGCGCTTAAACACTCAACTTCAAGAATTCTGCTCTCGCAGCTAAGAAAGCCTTCTCATGCTTTCAACGTGTGTTTGCTGTAGAATGGAGTTCTTCGTGATGAAGCAAAAAAGTCACGGGATGATCAACCAAAAGCCATCTCATGTCAAACTATTCCTTGACATGACATAGAAAGGGTTTCTGTTATCCGCTTCTTCCATGGCAGTCGAAGGCCGACACAGGATGATCAACCAAAAGTCACGGGGAAGCCTTTCTTCGTCACTTCGCATCAGCTTCTATAACCTCTCATCGTCGCTATCCTTCACCTTGGACACCTCAATGCTTGTTGGGATCTTTGGGATCTGTAAGTTGTGCTTCAATCGTCTTCTTTGGTAGAGAGATCACTGTTAGGCAGTACCACCTAAACTCTCGAGGATCACTTCTAATTCGTTGATGCTAGTTTTGATCGAGAACTTCATTATCATGTGGTACGTGGATACCACCGCCTTCAACCGGTTGAGGGTAGGTCGACCAATGATTACATTATAGGCTCAGGGAATTTCCACCATCATGAACTTGTTCGTTAGGGTCTTGGAGTATAGTTCTTTACCGAAGATGACGTAGAGGCTTACTATCCCATGGGGGGAGATGAAATCTCCTGTGAACCCAATTTGTGATGATGTCATTGGGGAGAGCCGTCTGTGGACAATTTGAATTTCTGAAAGGCATCAAAATAAAGTACGACTATGAAGTTGCCCATATCGATCATAACTCTTTTTGCTTGGGAATTAGCCATCCCGATCAAGACCACCAAGGTGTCATCATAGTTAGGGTCGAGGTGCTCGATCTCCCCTTCATTGAAAGTAATCTTCAGCCTTTCCTTGTGTCTTTCCATGGTGGCTGGGGCATACGCTTTGCTTCTAGAGGAATTATCATCCACCTTGGTCCACCGAAGATGACATCAATTTATTTTTTCACAAAGCAATGAGAGTGAGGCGAGAGCTCTCGGGGATTGTGGAGGAATCTCCCAAGATGACATCTTCGGATGAGCTTCTCGATCTAGTATTTGAGGTCCCGACATTCTTCTGTGTTGTGCTCGTAGTCCCAGTGGAAGCGACAACACTTGGTCTTGTTCCTCTACTCCAAATGGGATTTCATGGGTATCAACACCTTTAGGAATCCTTTCTCCCTTATTTATGGTAAGATCTCCATTCTTGTCACATTGAGGGAGACTAGCCCGAGCCTTAGGTGTGCCTTCTAAGGTCTAGCGTGTCTCCTTAATGGCAAACTTGAGGTCGATGTCTAGGGCAGTTCTTGGCATGGCCTCTTGTGGGGCTTCTCACGTTGGCCTAAGATCATTTCTTCTACGATTACATATTGGTTGGCTCTTTGGTGCATCTTAGGAATAATTATGGGCGGTTTTTCGATCAATTACTAAAAGAATCAGAAAAGTCATAGGCTTATCATAAAATCTTATATTTCCAACGAAGGTTGGGCGTCTTGAACCCTCTAGATTTCATTAGTGAACTAGATAACAAAATAAGAGAGGGGTTCATCCTTCCTCTGCCTTAACTCAAGTAGCATGGCTACGGAAGACTTCGAGCGCACATTAACAACAAAATGAAGCTTGAATTCTTTTGCGAGTTGGTCGAAGGAGGACACTGAGAGGGGCTTCGAGCGAGTATACCATTCCTGGGTCGAATCTATCAATGTTATAAGGAACGCTCAACACATTAGAGTGTTTGACATGCCATATAATGACATATAGGCCCGGAAGGCCATGGTATGCTCCTCTAGGTTGAAGTTACCATTGAAAGCCTCCAACATCGAGAGACAAAAGTTGGTTGGGAGGGGTTCCTCCTAGATGCTTTGGACGAATGAGGAGCTGTCTGAAGTGGGGTTGTTGGCATCCCCTTTCGAGTGATGAAATTCTCATTGCACCTCATCCAGGCATTGGGTCACCAACCACATTTGAGCCCCGAGTGAATCCTCCATCGAGTCGATGAATTGGATCTCCGTCTCGAATAAGGTTGGCTCATGGTGTGGGGGCATGTTGAATTCCATTATCGGGGATAGTGGTACTTCGAGTGGCATTCCAATCGACCAAAAGCAATCGAGGGGGATATGCAATGGGTCTATTAGGGAGGCCTTAAGAGGTGCAAGAGTAAGTGAAGGTTGGACCGTTGGTTGTAGTGTTAGAGGTGGGGTCGCTTGTTGAGCCAACTAGGGAGCGAGCGATGACTTGAATCATCCTAGCCAACATCTGCACTTGATGTGTGAGGTTTAGGAAGGCCTCAATAAGGACGAGCAGGTGCCCTATGTTCGGTCTCGAAGGTGAGAACCTGAGATCATTAAATAGATTCCAGTAGTGCCTCGAGATTTGTGCTGAAGTGGAGGCATCCACTTGTGAAAAGGAGGGTAGTTGTCCTCCTTGCCCGAAGGTACCGTGTGCATGCGATGACACCTCCTCTTTAGAGGGCTCGTTGAGGGGGTTTGCGGGTGGACATGGTTGTGACATTCAACCCTCCTTCTAGTACCAAAATATTATTACATTGATGCCACCGATCATGAATTGACACAACTTGATTCTGTCCTAAAAGCACAAGATCGTATGGATGACCTATGTGACAATTGAGCGAGGTGGTTAGCATCGGGGAAGGTTCGAGTGCACGATCTCGAGGTGATAGTAGAGTGTTCGAGCTAGCTCCTAAGTCAAACTGAGGTTGGCTCCGACCTTCTTAGGGTTATGGGCTGAGCCAAGGTGAGCCTTGGTCTCCTCGAAGAACTAGAACAAACGATTAATGCTATGAAGGATTTCCCGACCCGACCCATCCGATAGTAAAATAACTTTTGTGGGGTTGAAACAATAGATGATTCGAGTTCCAGTTTTCTGGGCAACTGACAGAGGGGACCGATGGTTGACTATTGATTGTGGGAGCCGACTAGGGGGACAGATAGGTTTTGGTTCTTTGGAGTTACTGCCCTCGATGATCGATCCATGCTGCTTTCCCCTGAGTCACGATCTGTTGGGGGCCGTAGGCAAAGCAAAGCCCGGATCACCCTATTGGGAAAGGGTGATCTGGGCTTTCCTTTGCCTAAGTGGCAGCGCCAGCATATTTCCAATCACTTCCCATTCTCCCATCTCATCATTTGATTATATATATATACAGTTGATATTCACATTAATGGTAGATAAATGAACTTGAATCTGATAGCTCCTTGAGATGCAAGGATGGACTTAATTGGCAGATATTGTCGCTTGGGAATGCAGTATTCTGAACTAAACACAAACTTGAGATGTTTGGATGAGACCTATAGGAGATTAACACTATTAATCTAGTCATAAAATTAATTATGTTTGTTTTTAACATATAAAACATATCATTTTTGGATTAGCATACTAATTAATCTTCAAAACTTAATTTTCAATTTAATTAAATTGTATAGGATCAAATTTTTACACATAGATTAATTGCAGCATTCTTAATAAAATAGATTAAATTGCATTGTGCATCGGGCTATCAATCTCATGATCCATAGTAATAGTCTTTATTATCAAAGCTTAGGGTTCCAAGTCTTATCCAATATATTTTTTTTATGATATATTTTCTTTCATAATTTTTTTGAATAAAGTATTTCAAATCTATTTATCATTCATTGATTGATGGTAGTGTACCAAATCTACTTATCAAAGGTAAGAGTTCAAAATCTCATCCAATATTATTTTCAAGATATTATATAACTTAATTGATTCATACTTTGACAAATCATCGTACAATAATCCTAATCTTAAATCATATCTTCGTCGTTTATCTTTATAAATTAATAATAAGAATATTGAATTCCCTGAAATCATTCTTAGCTACACGTTTCTCGTTTGAGTAATTGCTAACTCAAGCAACTCCATAACTTGTGTTCAAAGCGAATGATCCATCTATGCTTGTCGAGGAAGCCTTTGTTTTGAAGGAAACATGAGGAAATACTCTCGACCTTGCCAAAATTAAATCTTTCCCAATCTCATTCAAAACCCTAAATAATTCTGCATCAAGCATTAATCTCAATCATCCTTCACCAATTTTAGGGGAATCATCACCTGACAAACTTAACAGTGCATGCATGAACCCACGTTTCAGGTGCATGGTATTCTTGCAAGCCCTCAGCAAAGTTCTTCCACGCATGCATTCATCGGTTTAGTATTATGCTTTTGGGGGGGGGGGGTTGTGCGGGAGGAGAGAAGTCACATCGTATGACCGGCATTTCCGAACCAACCTCACCTCACGATAGGCTGCTGCTCACCTAATGGAGAGCCATAAAAAGACGGTGGTGATGGAGATGATGATGGGTGCGTAGGTTTTGATGGCCAAGAAGAGCAATCTTGTCCTTCAAGAACCATGGTGGATGAGGACGCCACTGCCATCTGTCTTCTTCATCAGCATCTTAGTCTTCGTCGTCGTCGTTCTCTTCATCTCCCTCTCCTACGACAAAGTGGAGTATTTGTCGCCCAAGATTTTTGACCGCCAGCAGGTGAACCTGATGTCGGTATCGGCAGACGAGACGAGGAAGCAGAAGTGTGACTTGTTCTCGGGGCGGTGGGTCTACGATTACTCGACGCAGCCGCTGTACTCCGGGGTGGGGTGCTCGTACATGAACGACGAGGTGGCCTGCGAGAAGTTCGGGAGGAAGGATCTGGAGCATCAGCGGTGGAGGTGGCAACCCCATGGCTGCAGAGTTCCAAGGTATGCGTACTGTCTTGCAATGCTTGCAGATCTTTTGGTTACTGCATTTGCATTTGAAGGACGATCCCATATTTTCCTGCACTTCTTCTTCTTCTTCTTCTTCTTGCCTGCATCATTTCCAATGTGATGCTCTTTCTTGAAAGGAAAGAAGAAATCTGAGGGGTCAAATTGACTTTAATCAGCAATGAATAATAAGGTATATATTGTTTTCCAAGGATTTGATATTTATTTTGTTGAATTTTATTTTAGGAAAAGTTCCAATGATCTTAATTTTGTAAACGTAAAGGAGCAAAAGAGTTGTGTTGATTCATCTTTAAGGAATCGGCCCACCACATTGCTATCGCAGATCGGAACACGTCGCTCGCAGCAGTCCTTGCCATCTCTCGCAAGTTAAGAAACGGAAACATTACGAGGTGGCCAAAGATGAACAGTCATTAGTATTTGGGCTTTAATTAGATACCATTATAGGGTATTTTAGATCCAATCCTCTATTGTCGTCGAGCCAAATCCATATTAGCCTATTAATTGATTCTCCTATTGTCTATTATCTCAGTTATGATCAGATTTTAGACTGATAATTAAATGTACGGCCATTCCCTCAACCAAAAAACAAAAAAAAAAACGTTTCCTTTTTATTTTTTTTCAAAAATGTTTTTTTATTTTTAATTTTCTCATTTGATATTTTTTTAATTCGAATAATATCCAAAATATCTCTCATCGATACCAATGGTATCTTTTGAGAAATGGATTCCTCCTTCCTAAGCTCTAAAGAATCGAACCAAACCCACCATCACTAAGATATCAATGCTGACGAACAGGTTCGATCCCGAGAAGCTGCTGAACAGATTAACCGGCAAAAGAATGGTGTTCGTTGGCGACTCTCTCAACAGGAATCAATGGGTGTCGATGGTGTGCATGTTGGAATCTGCCGTAAGTAGTGACGGCCATTCTATGAGCCAGAATGGTTCACTCAGGTCCTTCAAGGCAAAGGTAACTATTTGGTCCCTCCTATGACTTCTCCGTCTTCCGAACAATACATTCGATTCATTCCCATTCGTGTGTGTTTGAGACTTGTACTAGTTCTTTATATGTGCAGGATTTTAATGCGTCGATCGACTTCTACTGGTCTCCACTGCTGGTGGAATCCAACTGTGATGACCCGGTGCACCATCGGTTGTCAGATAGGATGATGCGGGCTAATTCGATCGATGCGCATGCTCAACGATGGGCAGATGCAGACATACTCGTCTTCAACTCTTATCTATGGTGGAAGAAGCCCGGGATGAAGATGAAGGTCATGTGAGTTCTGGCTGTGCGAGTTCATGGCACACATGAACTCGGGTGCTAGCTAAAGCCTTTCCGATGACCTAATGTTCCTGTATCTAATTGGTCAGCTACGATGGTTCGTTTGAGGACGAGGACAACAACATGGAGGAAATGGAGATGATAGATGGCTTTGGGTTAGCACTGAAGGCATGGTCCGATTGGCTGGAGTCGCACCGCAACCGCAGCACCCAGCTCTTCTTCGTCAGCCTGTCACCGACGCATGCATGGTGAGGATCCATCCGTGCCTCATTAATGAGCGCTTCCTTTTCCCTCTCTCATCGATGATGAAGAGTGTCGACATGGATCTTTTTTGTGCAGGGGTTACGAGTGGGGTGCAGAAGGCAATCAGAACTGCTACAACCAGACCCAGCCGATCGAAGAAGAAGGGTACACAGGTAAAGGATCAGACTACAAGATGATGCGAATGGTGGAGGAGACAGTCGAGAGGCTGAGCAATAAAGGCGTGGATGTGCAGATACTCAACATTACTCAGCTCTCGGAGTACAGAAAAGACGGGCATCCCTCCATTTACAGGAAGTTTTGGGACGATCTCGGTAAAGAACGAGTTGCGAACCCTAGTGGATACTCGGACTGCACGCATTGGTGTCTTCCTGGGGTCCCTGACGTATGGAATGAGCTCCTATATGCCTTCATTGTTTCCCAAGAACAGGTGTAGGTTTTTTGCATGGCGAAAGGAGGCTGACTGCTGGAAGCAACATCGAACGATGCTTAATTGTTGTCTCCTCTCCCCCCCCTCCCCTCCCTTTTTTTGGCGTTAAAATTGGAGGAAGAACATTTTGTTAACTCTACAAAGTTGAAAGCAAAATCAAATCCCTATTTTTTTGTTACGATCAAACAGGACGTATCAGTTTTGCATAGCAGGAAAAAAAGGCTCCAAGTGATCAGATATTAGAGTTTAATCTTTTTGGGCTAAATTTTTATCATATGTTGCCCATCTATTTAGAAGCTTAAATGTCAAAAAATATTGTATGGATCCATCATATTTTGGTGAAATAAAAAATAGAGAAATAGAAAAAAATAAATTATTGATATTAAATAGATAATTTTTTTTAAAATCTCTAAAATAGAAATATAGTGATAGACATCCATCTGGGTCTAATTCAAACCTTTTATAAAAAATTCAAATAATTTGAACAAGTCTTTATATGCGATATACTATTTTCTATTTGATCAAAAAAATAATGTATTAGATATCAGAACATAATATTTTTGGACCAAATTTTTATTTTAGATTATCCATCTATTTAAAATCTCAAATATAAAAAACATTGCATGGATCCAACATATTCTAAATAAATTAAAAAATATAAAAAAATTTAAAATAAAAAAGTTAATATATGTCCATCTGATTCCAATTTAAAGCTTTACTTTATAGTTATTTTTTTAATTTATTGATTATACTTTTTCTTTTTCTTTTTTTATAATTTATTATAATTTATTATAATTTATATTTATTAATTTTAATAATATAAATTGATATATCATTAAATTATTTAATATAATTTATTTTTGATATTAAGATTATATTTTTTGATATTTTCTATATAAATTTAACTTTTTAAAGGTCAAAATTAGTAAATAAACTATCTTTAAAAACTTAAAAATAAAAAATAATGACCATATATACATTTCAAATTTATTTTTAAGTATCTTAAATATATATTTTTAAAAAATATATATTTTTTTTATTTTTTTGAAATATGTAAATATTATTATTTATTACTCCTAAATTTATAATTAGAATAATTAGTTTTAAATTTATTATTTTTAATAATTTAATATAATTTATTATTTTTAATAATTTAATAATTTATAATTAGAATAATTAGTTTTAAATTATATATAAGTAAATTATTTAATATAATTTATTTTTGACGGGTTCAAGTTTTAGATTGGTTGAACTTATTCAATCGTATGAGATAAATTTCTTAAAATCAGGAATTATTTTCGAGAATTCACCTATATATATATATTGTCGAAAATAATATTAATTAATTTGAATGAAGAGATTGGAAAGTTGGGAAGGTCATTTGCTTCTCCAGAAAAATGAAATGCTTATAATTCTTATATGGTTGGCCAACTAATCGGCTACCTGATTACCCCTTACCTTTTTTATATTTTAAAGAATGCATATAGTATTAGCTGACTTACAATTCTCATATGCTTAAGTACAAAATCATTATAACCAAAGACATTATGCTGAATTATCATTCAACACTCTTGGCTATGCTGAATCACAAAATCTACTATATTCTTATGACCAAAAGCATTATACTGATTTCATCTGGCACATGCACTGTGTTTTTGGCACAGACAGCATTAGGTTCAAGTCTGAAGTGTATAATATATTAGCCGAATTATATTTCTCACCATCTGCTAACTTCACTAAAAAGCATAATTCACCTTTTTAAGCCACATTATTGCAACTTCTGTACCATTTTTCCTTAATTTTCAGATGTTTTTTTTACTGTTAAGCCCAATAAACCTGTTGCATGAGAAGCATCCCACAGCACAGTGAACCAGAGATCCAGTTAAAGTTAGTAAGTATATATATATATATATATATATATATATATATATATATATATATCCAGGATCGGTGCTATCTGCCACGGTGTCACCATCTGCTTGTTGGTGGAAATGCTTCCTCTTAACTCTTACCTTTTTCCCCTTATGTCACCCACTGAAAGATCTAAAGATACATTTGCATGGAATATTAGCCATTCAAGTGTCAATGCCACCTAAAGCCTATCTCTGTCCTACCAACAGTGCCGTCTCTTTTTTGCTGAACTACTACTATCTTGTAGTTGAAGATTTGATGGTATGTTCGCTGGCAAATTGCTTTGACAAAACATCTCTCTCCACCGTCTCAGTTCCTTGAATCACAAGCGACACCCACTGATCCCATTGAACCACTTAGTTGTTGGTTATAGTTTCTATCTGTCATATCTGATGAATTAAATTGGCATTGACATTTGAGAAGAAGCCATAGGCATGTAAGTTTGTTTGACCCACATGTTGTTTTGCTCTACAAGCAATAGCCAAATGAACATTGATGCCACCTCCTTTCTACACGTGCAGAAACAAGGGGGTCAGATGATATCTACTGAGCCAAAAGTTGCATCTTGTCCACCCACCCTAACCAAACCTCTGAATAGTGGCTCTTGCAAGAAGCTCAAGTCTGGAGAAGAATAGTGGCTCTTACAAGGCAAACACCTACAGCTTCCATGGTTTCATGAGACCGTGCATGAGTTCTTCCTGCAAATATATGTATCTCGTTGATGTAAGTGTTGTTCTTAAGATTGCGTCATGTGGAAGCTTGTAAAACAAGCATTTGAAGGATCACTATACCTAACACAGAGGCTAGCAAAGTGGGTGCACCAACTGGTGCAGGGTTGAACAAGGAGCTGCTTGACCATACATCAGTGGGTGGAAATCTAAAAGCTTGGAACAAATCGAAAATCTAATCTGCTAACCACAAAATCCACCTCATGTCTCCCATGCAACATATCCCTTGAGCCTCTATATAAGACGTCCCCTTTCCTTTGTATTTCATTACCTCCTCGAAGCTTTCAAGAACAGGGACTGAGTTCAGTAATGGAGTCTTGGCTACTTCCTTTTCTGTTAGCTCTCTCTCTTCTCTTTCGTTACAGCGGCGCGGAAGTTCACTACCATGAGTTTGTGGTAAGCTTTCTCCAAGCTCGGACCATTCTTTGACTCATTCATCGTCTTCGACCTTCGACCTTCGACGTTTGTGTGGATTGGTGCAGGTGCAAGCGACGCCAGTGAAGAGGCTGTGCAAGGCCCACAACATCATCACGGTGAACGGGCAGTTCCCCGGGCCGACCATAGAGGTAAAGAACGGAGACACGCTGGTGATCAACGTTGTTAACCGAGCGAGATACAACGTCACGCTTCACTGGTACGTAGTGATCTGCATGTCGACGTGCGTGCGTTGATGAAGAGAGCATGCGGTACTGATCGTTGTGTTGTTGAAGGCACGGGGTGCGGCAAATGAGGACGGCGTGGGCGGACGGACCGGAGTTCGTGACGCAGTGCCCGATCCGGCCAAGCGGCAGCTACAGGTACCGGTTCACGATCGAGGGACAGGAGGGGACGCTGTGGTGGCACGCCCACAGCTCCTGGCTCAGGGCTACTATTTACGGAGCTCTCATCATCCACCCCAAGGATAACTCCTGCCCATTCACCAAGCCCAAGAGAGAAATACCTGTTCTCCTTGGTTCGTCTCTCTCTCTCTCTCTCTCTCTCTCTCTCTCTCTCTCTGAAAGGCAAGTAGGAAATATTCCATAATAAGAAAGGCAAGTAGGAAATACTCTATAACAAAAGATCCAGTTGTTTCTCTTGCAAAGGCCTCAACCATGGCTTCTTTCATGAGGAACAGGAGAGTGGTGGAATAGGAATCCCATTGACGTCGTGCGGCGAGCTAAGCGCACCGGAGCAGCTCCCAACAACTCCGACGCCTTCACCATCAATGGCGAGCCCGGTGATCTCTACAAATGCTCCCGCAAAGGTGTGCTCACGTCCAATCTCAAAAGCATCTCATCTCTTGAAAGTTGTATCGTATCAGTACATAGAAGTGTGTCGACTCCTCTCATGTTTGCATCCCTGTACAGACACCACAGTGATTCCGGCGATGGCTGGAGAGACCAATCTCTTCCGGTTCATCAATGCGGCGCTGAACACCGAGCTCTTCGTCGCGATCGCGGGTCACAAGATGACCGTCGTCGGAGCCGACGCGTCCTACACCAAGCCCTTCACCACCTCGGTGCTCATGCTTGGACCGGGGCAGACCACCGACGTGCTCGTCACCATGGACCAGCCGGTGTCTCGCTACTACATCGCTGCCCGGGCTTACGCCAGCGCGCAGGGCGTGCCCTTCGATAACACCACCACCACCGCCATCCTCGAGTACGACTGCGGGTGCTCCGAACCGGTACGGGTCGTGCAGCCTGCATTCCCCGCCCTCCCGGCCTACAACGACACCAGAGCCGCCTCCGCCTTCTCCGCCGGCATCAAAAGCCTCTCCAGGGTTAGGGTTCCCGGGCCGGTCGACGAGAACCTCTTCTTCACCGTGGGCTTGGGCTTGTTCGGTTGCCCTGCAGGGAAGACCTGCGGCGGGCCGAACAACACTCGCTTCGGGGCGAGCATGAACAATGTCTCCTTTGTGTTGCCCGACAGCTACTCCATTCTCCAAGCCCACTACCAAGGCGTGCCCGGCGTCTTCACCACCGACTTCCCGGCGGTGCCGCCGGTGCAGTTCGATTACACCTCCCAAAACATCAGCCGCAGTCTGTGGCAGCCGATCGCGGGGACGAAGGTCTACAAGCTCAAGTACGGCTCCGTGGTCCAGCTGGTGCTGCAAGGCACCAACATCTTCGCCGCCGAGAACCATCCCATCCACATCCACGGCTACGACTTCTACATCCTCGCGGAGGGGTTCGGAAACTTCAACCCAGCCAAGGACAACGCCAAGTTCAACCTCGTCGACCCGCCGATGAGGAACACGGTGGGAGTGCCGGTGAACGGCTGGGCGGTCATCCGATTCGTGGCGGACAACCCAGGAGTGTGGCTCATGCATTGCCATTTGGACGTTCACATTACCTGGGGATTGGCCATGGCGTTCCTGGTGGAGGATGGAGTGGGAGAGCTGCAGTCCTTGGAGGCCCCTCCGGTTGACCTGCCTCCATGCTGAACATATTCATAGATTACTTGCCCTTCATATCAAATATTATATCGTATTTAATTCATATGCTTTATATCGTTCAGGAATGAATCATAAATGCAACGAACATTATGTTTGTTACAGTC